GAAAACGTTAAGGCTGAAAGAGGCCGAACAGAGCTTCGTCGGTATCGATATCCCTGATTCGCGATCGCGCGGATGAAACGTCAACCCGAAGATAAAGTGGTGCAGTACGTACCAGTAAGGTTGGAAGAGGCCGGCCGCGCAGTTATATTACACGTCTATTCCTAGAGCCGGCTCCTCTGGGAACGGGTGAGCTATATCGAGGTGGAGGAGGAGGCGACGGCGGCGGTGGATGGAGAAGGGAAAGTTAGAGCCGCCCAGGGGATCGGTACGACCGATAATTGAGGCTTGAATTAAATTAGCCCCGGTTCCATTCCAGAACGACTGAAAGTCTCGCGCGTTACTAAGCGCGATAACCGAATTGACCCACGTCGACCGATCTAATCGCGATTATCGATCACACACCGCTCTTACGCCGAGATTTCATTAGGATCGATATCGCTCTGTAGGTTAAATCGGTTAGGCAAGATGCATAATGGATTAAGCAATTGCACGTGGGCTACATAACGATCTAGGCTCCCTTTGACTCTTCTCGACTAGCCAAATTCTACCTCTCCCTCTCTCTTTCTCTCCCTCCCGCTAATGTCAGGCACTTTTTGACTTAAGCTTCTTGAAAATGTACTGTGAACGTTACTGTAAACTCTAAGAAGTTATCGATCGCAGGATTAAATAAACTCTGATCTATATTAGGTGTAAATTAATTCGGTGCTTTCGTTATCAAAAATCAAGATTTATTTATCCATGGAAGGTGTACGGATTTTAATGATCGAAATACCGAAATCGTTATGGTCGGAAACAAATCTGTGCAGAACGCGGCATTAACACTTTCACAACCGCTGACACCAATGTGGTGTCATGGGCAGGCCAGTCGTTGTATGCCGGTGACACTCATGTGGTGTATTGATAGGCCAGTCGCTATTTGCCGGTGACTCCCACGTGGTACCAGTGGCAAGCCACTTGCAAAACTTTTCTTAGCACGTCATAATAATGTTAATTGTTTCATGAATTTACGTAAAGTTTTTTCTTCCAAAATATTACCGGCCACTGGCGACGTTTCACTGCGCTAACATGCGGTTGTGAAAGTGTTAATATGAAAGCCAAATTAAGGGTTTCTCCATACCGCGAGAGCCTAAAATATTATTCATAACAAGTTTGATACGCGGTGTATCACTCATTATCATCATTTTTTCTTTTTTGCAACATGGAATTCGGTATCAAAAATACTATATTAATTTATTCATTAATTGACAAATTTAGTTGACATAATCAAATTAGCAAATTATTCGTAATCAGAGCAGAAACAGTTTTATCGCCAGGATAGAAAAATTCTGTCGAATGAGTTTGTCCTTAGGACACGTTAATTTTCTGCTAGAACAAAGTAGCGTTTACTAATTTGTTCTTACAGCAAAATAATCGAATGATAATTAATATTCTCAATAAATCATATTCTTTTACAATCAATATTTCTAACAAACGGAAACATCGATAACAACAGAATCAGGATGTATTCTATTTTTTGGTGTCCAATTTTTTGTTTCGTAAAATTATATATTATTATATATATTAAATATTCGATTGTTCTTTAAGTTATTAGGTTTTATAATTAGATTAAAACTCCATAATGTGGAATCAAAAGTTGGTTACTTTAAGAAGATAATTACAAGGTTAATCAACAAAAATCTATTTATCACAAAAAATAAAATGAAAATTAAAAAAACTACTTGGGTGTACACGCCAAATTGGAAATTCTTAATTCACGGATCAAGTCTCCCATATCCTAGTAGCACAATTCATTGGTGATTTATTGATTATATTGATATTCATTGCCCAATTACAAATGTTGCCTCATATAAAGCCAACCAAACCTACGAAAGCAGATTTTGCGCAGTATCTGCTATAAATTTTGTCGACAGTTTGCCAGCAGAAATATAACAGGATTTGCTAGCAGAGCGTGGTAAAAGATTAATCTGTTAACCTAACCTAACAGATTAATCTGTTATCATGTTCTGCTAACTGATCCTGTTATATTTCTGCCAGCAAACTGACAAAATTTATAGCAGATACTGCGCAAAACCTGCTTCTGCAGGCTTGGCTGTCTGACTGGCTTTATATTGAACAATTCACTCAACGTACTTCTGATGAATTGTAATAATTCGGATGCAACGTGTGTTATTTAATTATTCTATAATAAATTTAATCAATAGATATACTGAAACATATAACTTGTATTTTATTTTTAAAATTACATTTTATAATTTGTTCATACAAAAATCTTTAACAGAAATGAATTATGATCTTTTGTTATACAAATTAAAACGTGACACGATTCCCCAGAATCAGTCTTTCCCATTCTTAAATCAAGTCTACCAGAATAGAGAACATTTAGTACATTTCGATTGTTTTACTAAAATATAAAATATTGTAGGAAATTATTATTTTATTGTTATTATTATTTTTTAACTGATATTAGTATAAGAACGTTTTGGTTGTTCCTTCATTTTTAAGATATTCAACGAAATCAAGAAGGGGAAATAAGTGTCCCCAGGTTACCCTAAATGTACCTCCAGTACAAAGTCCTAAAAGGACAGAACAAAAATGAAAGCATCTATCTACCCTTCTTCCCGTCCTCCGAAGTACTTTTCGCGTGACTGCAATTAATAATTCTCGCGGATCCTCATCGAGTACGACGACAAAGACGCTCGAGGAAGGACGACGCTCGAAGGAGGACACACGAATGCANGGGGGGGGGGGGGGGAGGCGTCGATTCGCGAAAAATAAACCGGAAGAGGGAACTTTATCCTCGTATTTCTCCCGCTCCGCGGACTCGTGGAAAGTTCGGAATATCGGAGTTGCAATTTATCGTAGGAACTTATTCCGGCGGCGCGACCACCCCGTATCTATTATCGTCGCCAATTTTTCGCGGAGAACCGGGTTGTCGATGCACAACGCGGCGAGTGTACCGAGGACGTGTGACGCTGTTGCCAAAAGAAACATCCCCCTCCCGTCCATTTGCGCGAGATAAATCACAGTGTACGCGCGAGCAAAACGCACCCCTACCGTCGGCGACTAAATGGATTCGCTCGAGGGAGAGAATTTAATCATTTACGTACGCCACCCCTCCAGCGAGAATATTCTCTTATGCGCGCGCACGCGTGGCGGGGAATTATAATGGGGAGGTCCATTAAGACGACTGGCGTCCGACGAAACGATCGAGAAAAAAATGGAAGAGTCGCTACTTCCTCGAGCGAGAAATTATCGCCCGACGGGAATGCTCTCGCGCGCTGATGAAACACGTTATCTCCCTGCCGAGCTCTTGCATCGGCCGAAGAAATTGGTTTGTGGCTTCGTGTATAATTCCGCAATCCGCCTTCTAATTAATCTGTTCCCCGTCAGCGCCGAATTAACAAACACGCCGCAGGATTGCGATCACGAGCGAGAAAGAAATATGAGGGGGAATGAACGGCAGGAGGGACGAAACGAAAAAAAAGACGCAAATAGAACGCGCGAAAGGGGGGATAATGTAGGCACGATTAAAAATTTAAATCAGTCATCGGCGACGAAATATCGTTAGCGAAAGTTCGGACCAAAAGGGGCACCTTCGTCGCCGTTAACCCTAAGTGGAAACGGCGCGGGGAAAAGAGCTGCGACGGAGGGCGGAGATTGAAAGTAGAAGGAGAGGGTTGATCAGCGAGATGTCCTGCGGGGAGGTAAGTTTCTCGGTGCAATCAGTGCCGCGCTCTCTGTCTCTCTCTCTCTCTTTCGTTCCGCGGTATCAAGCACCATGTCGCTGTGTACCCTTCCCGTCTCGTTTCGCGACGCAACGCGGAACTTAAGATAATGTCGTCATCGTCGTCGTGATTTGTTCGGAGAGTCGGAGAATTCGCCGGCGCTTTTTGCGGGCGAGCGCGTGCAGTCGGGAAATCGACGAGATTCAACGGCGCGACGATAAGCGACGGATGAAACCGCGATCTGAACTCGCCATCTTCCCTCTGGGAGGGACTTGGCGCGTCGATCACGATTAACGTGATCGCCGGGGGAGAGGCGGGATTTTAATTGACGATTAATCATTTTCCGCACGACGTGAGATCACGCGTCGATTCGCGCGATCATCGGAGGGATAACACGCTTACGGCGTTATCGGCATCAGTTCAAGACTCGTACCGGAGTCGAAATTTTAGTTCGGTAGAAAGAACGATATCTACAAACTGATATAATTCTTAGTTTGAAGATACCTTCCTTTCTGTCCAATATTTTTTCATCTCAATTCATGAAAATTATAAAACGCCATTTTCTATGTGCACATTATCGACCTAAATTTATTTTACACAATTACGTAAAAAAGAAATAAAAATCCGGGGGATTATTGCTCGGATTAACCTGCTTTGTAGCGGACGTGTTAATTTCCGATTAATTATTTCCTGCTCCGGACGGTTGTCAGATTTCAACGAATGCTTGCTTGCGACAGCTGAGAGACGAGTGACTTACGGAGGTTTAAGGACAAATTCGATCGGCGCTGCAACTTCGTCGCTGCCTCGATAGCGATTAATTAACAGAGCGTTTGATCCGGTTGTGCGCTAATCACGCGCTCGAATTACGAATTTCATAAATTCGCGAAAGGATGATCGAGTTCGCCGCGTCGGTGCGATTCACCGTGGAACTGGACGCGGTATCGAATGGATCAACGATTTTCCAAAAAAAAAAAGAAACAGCAGAAATGACGAATACCCCCGATTCGTTCGCATTGATAAAGCCTATCGTTGTAATTATAAGCGTGGACAAAAGCCCGTTCTCATGGCTCATCGGCTCGCGAACAGAGAGTAGATTGTATTCCCGGCGGTGGAATAGAAACGAGGAAACTCTCCAACCCAGACGATCTAATCGATTTTAATCTGTCGCTTTAATAAACACGCGAGAATCCGTCGTCCGAGAAAAGAAACGAGAAGTTCCGCAGACCGTACATACATAGGCACAATGTTATATCGGATTCTCGTTTGTGTTTACAGCTTTCGTCCGTCGGACGACGTCCCGCTGCATCTTGACGACCGAGGAGGAGGTTCCGTCCCCCCAACTTTCTCATTCGAGATGTTTTGAGAGCAATTTAACTTGGACTCCGGTCGGTCGCCCGAAGGGTGGGCCGCCGCGGGTCGGCGGAATAAGAGCGGTGTCGCGCGATGCGCGAATCCGCCGTGGAGTCATCGCCACGTGACCGGGCGAATTATTAGCGGAGCGACGTGATCGGTTTTCCCCGACACACGTCTGCCCCGTCGGCCGGCTCCTCGACGACCAAGGTCGCCGCGCGGTTATGCTGGTGGCGTCGCTGCAGGTGGCCGCCAGCAAATGCTGTCATGCTGCTGCCATGCCAGCCGGCGGCCCGGAGCCGGCCGCTGGTCGCGAGGACTCCGATCGGACCCAAGCGTCCTGCTTGCCGCTCCTGCGTAGGACTCGCCCTGTTGATCGCCCTGCTAAGCCTGACCGGCGACGGCCGCGCCGCCTCTCAGCCTACGACCCGCTACGCTTCGCGTATCGTCGAGACGAAGAGCGGACAGATACGTGGAATACTTCAGGTATGTATTCGAGAAGGCTGTGTGCGAAAATGCAGAGCCGTCATCCTTTATCCTATATATTTTTGTCGCTTGTTCGTTATTTCTAATGTCGATATCGGAAGAAATTCCATCTCAGGTAGTAACCATAGAGTAACATATAATATTACTGTATGTACCTCGGTGACTACAGCAGGCAGACGGGATATTCGTTTCTGGACAATGTCGTGTCGATCGTGTTGCTTGCCATCGTTTACAAAGGAACTCTCGTACAAATAAATCCATATAATATTAAATAAACGCGCGCGAGTCAACTATACGAGTCACAATAATTAATGTGGCTCTATAATTCTAACTAAAATTAACGTTTATCACTGAGACACGTGTCAACATTTATATATATAATTTAATTAACCTTCCGAATTTTTATTATGATCAAAGCGATGCATATTATATGTAGGAAAGATGTATTCAGTATAGAAATTTGTTTTTTTCGCGCACGTTTTGATAAAGTGTCGTTGAAAGAGTTCCATATTTTTCGGGAAAAATCACTTCTGCGTACATTTTTATTCCTTGCTCTCTCTCTCTCTCTCTCTCTCTCTCTCTCTCCTCTCTCTCTTTCTGAATTTTCCAAACTTCCTTCAAATTTCTTTTTGACATATTATAAATATATCCTTACCCGGCGAGACTACTGTGGTGTACATTTTCGGTTCATGAGTGAGTTTCTACCTTCGAGGAAAATTCTTTGCGTGTAGGATAGCGAGAAGAAGACGACTGATTCGTCGTCGGGATTTCGGGTGTCCCGCAGGTGGATCCCCAACACGCGCGAGGACGCTTGTTGGATATCGCGAATCGGCTCGTCCGGTATTACCGGGCGCGCTGTTTCCGCGGTTCCGCTGGGGAGAGATTTATCGTCTGGTCGACCGTTTTTCCGTTTGGCGTCGTCGCGACACGTTCGCCGGGAAGTTCGGCAGCGTCAATTATTCGCGCGCTCGGGCGCGCGACGTGTCGTTCTTTATGACTTTCAAATTGAAATTCGCGGCGGGACGGAAAGGTGTCAAGCTTAGCAAGGGATGTTTCCACCGTCAATTTCGCGCCACGAACAAGGAAAGTTATTGAAAGATATTGAAGATCCGAAGATAAAGAACCGGTAAGAAATGTAAGTTTTCAGCTCAGACGATATTTTTCGCAACATTTACCGAAAGTTTTCTATAAAGTCCAGGGAATTCAAAGGGAATTAATTGATATTAATCTTAGCTTGACATTTGTGGGTCAAAAGTGAAAAATTATGAAGGTATTGTCCATTAGTGCTGTTATTTTCAGTAAGGCATCAAGGAAACCAATCATAAATTTAGTACTTGTCGAGCGAAATTACGTTTCTATACATTAGTTTCACTACCTAAATAATAGGACTGCGACCGTTATTCCGGATATTGGGATACAATATATGACGATGTGAACATATAAACGAATCTTTTTGATCACAGAAGGAAAACTGTGCAAAACCATAATTTAATTAACACTCCGGCGGCCGCAATCGGAAAATTACGTCAATAGTAATATACATTTTTCAGATACTATCATTTTCTGATGGAACTATTAATTAAATTATGGTTTTGCACAGTTTCTTTCTGCAATCAGAAGGATTCATTTATGGATATTCAAAAATACAAAGTTAATTTAATGAGTTAATAAAGCTTAATGAATTAACAGTTCAATTAAAATATGATAATATCTGAGAGATATATGCGACCAATGACGTAATTTGCCGATTACGACCGTCGAAGTGTTCAATATGTGCATATATATTTCAAGTATTACTGTTAACTTTGTGCCGTTGTATTTTCGAAACATAATAGTCAATAATTCTGTATATTTGTGTCTGCATATTAGTCTTTAATAACATAGGAATTTTTCATCAAAATTTCCTAGTAAACATGATGATTTATTAATAATGTCAATTGAATTAATGATGTGTTAATAACGTCAGAGACATAATTAATACACGATCATGTATGGGTCTCACAGACCAAATGTGGCGAACTAAACAGCGAAAAATAATTTTGTCAACAGGATTAAATATATTATTTGCCGGATAAAGGGATGATACGACGCTTGGCTGCTGTACACGTTCGTTAAAAATCTGGAGGCTAAGTCCGGCGTGCGTTACAATTTCATCCTCCCGCTGAGATTTAAATTATCGCGCCCAATATTCAACGACGGCTCTCACTAACCGATATTTCTTACTCTGCGTCGCGAGTTCCAATGAGTCGCCGGAAAATGGAGTATCCCGCAGGGTGGACCGGCCGGATGGTGTATCGTATTGCTTCGTGCGGCAATCGATTCGAGGGTATTTCGCATAGGTCGATTCTTTCTGTTTGCAGAGAGGTCGGGCGGCGGTTATAATGATGGTGGACATGATGACATGGATATTTGGATACCGTGTGTACAGGATGGGATAATATCTTGGACGCGGAATTAATCTCCCACCGCGATTCATAAACGAACTGTGAATCAATTTTGGTCAAACGCGCGTACATATGCCCGCGCGCGTCCAGTTAAATATCTTGTTAACTAATATTAGAATAATTATGATAATATCGGCGATGTTCTGTATTGACAACGCTACGGCTGGTGACCGTATTAATATTCATATTAACAATTTGCTGTTCGCCTCTGTACAGCGACGTTAACGATAATAGAAATATTAACGACCGATGTATCGCCGGCGTTGGCGCGCGCAAATTACAAAGAAGAATTCGCCGAATGAGCGAACACGAGCACGCTCTCGCGTCGTGAAATTTGTGCAATCGTCCACGCGCGATCGTCCGTCACACGAGATCTTTTCGGAGCGGGAGAAAGAGAGAGAGAGAGAGAGAGAGAGAGAGAGACTGAAATAAATATCGTGCGCTTAATGTTTTCTAATTAACATACCAAGGAACTTTTATATACCGGTGCATTAATCTCGCGACTTCAATTATTTCCACATTACCGTTGTCTTTTCACCGCCTCTTAAATTTGACTGTCTCGCTCTGTATTTTTTTTCCGTGTTTCATCCCTTCTTTCTTCTTCTCTCTTTCTACCTATCTCTCTTCCCCTCTCTCTCCCCTTTCTCATCACTTCTTCCATCCAATTTAACTCGTCGTTCCCAGTGCTCAACACCTTTTCTTTTTTCTCCCTTCTTTCCCTTCTTCTTCCTCTCTCACATGCACCCACCGTACTCTTTCATTAAACGCGTTACTGTCCTCCTATCACTCCCACAAACTTCGCAGACCTCCGCCTTCCTTACCCGGCGTCAGTTTCCTCTTTTCCCGTCCCTTTAACTTATTACCGCATCTAAATCTTGCTGTCGACCCGACGTTGAAAGTTCCCTTTGCCTGCTAAGTATCTTGACCGAGCGATAGCTCTTATATCCCCTTGCAGTTTTTGACGCGTTGCAACGTTCTATCTAATTAACCGAGAACACGCGTGCCCGTGTTTGTTGGCTCTTCCGCCGTAATTCCTTTAGCTAACCGTCACTTTCTCGAAAAAAAAAACGAAAGAAGGAGAAGAAAAAGAAGAAAAAGAATGGATAGGTGGATACATAGAGAGAGAGAGAGGGGAGGGGGGGAGAATGAAGGGAAAGAGAAAACGTAACAAGGCCCTCGTCAAAGGGTATAGCGTAAAACAATTACAGTTGAAACAAGCTTTTATTGCGCGGGGAATTTCGCAATCGGAATTAAAACAATTAAATTTGAAATGACGTGCTGCGGGAGAATCCACCGGTTTTATTCGGCTATTTCCGATACATACTGTGTATAGCCAACGTACGCCGGCCGTGGAGCGGCTAGTGGAGAGTCAGAGAAAGAGAGAGAGAGAGAGGGCGAGAACGTGGTTCGATATCTCCGATGGCTCCAACGACAGCGAAATTTTTCCAGGAGACAATCCGCTGGTAGCTCGTCTATCGGCACCGAAGCGTTTTCACAACACCGATCAGTCAGAGCGAGGCGAGGCCGATTTGACGTTTACTGCGACATTCGCTACGCCTGATGGTAGACATCAATTACGTCTAATAGATATTCATATCGACAAGAGGCGGATCGATGGACGCCCGATGATTTCCCCTGCCAATGCCGCTCGCAGTTTCCGCCAGTGTCGGCGAATCGTTCGCGCCCGTCGTTAAGGTAACTGCGGGCGGCGGCATATATCGCGAGCGAAAATGATTTCGCGATTCGCGCGCGCGTGGCCGCGGGGCTGAAGTCTGCCAATTTGATATCACTGACGCGCCGGCCGGTATCAATTCACACGGAATCGCTCGTCACATCCGGCGAAAGTAGTCTCCCCTCTCTCTCTCTCTCTGTCTGTAATTTACGTTGTGATGGACAGATATTTGACAAATAACCTTCATTAAACGATACACGCCGATTTTATTTATCTTTTAAGACTTGATATAAGACCACATAAAATGATTTGTATCAAAAAAATTAGCTCAACATCAAATGCAGCATTTATACTGGTTGAAGGAGGTGGGGGGGGGGAGTCTTATTTTTAATAATATTATAAAATATTTTACAAATAACACATTTCAGAGAAAAATTTTTCGGACAATAATTACCTGATTTCACAGTATGTACGATATTTATGTAAGATATTTTCATGAATATTTTTGCATAAATAATCGTCTTATGTGGTTTGTATTAAATCTCGAAAGATAAACAAAATCAGCGTGCATTACGCTTGATGAAGGCTACTTGTGAGTGGTACAAAGCGTTGCAGTGGCCCACGGCTGAAAGAAGGAGACTTTATGTCTTATGGGCTGCTTCCTGTTTTTAGTGCTTCCATCGGGTAGTCGGATTATATAGCCGACAATCTGAAGGAGATTGTGCCTAGAAAAGAGGGGACATTTCAAGCACGGACAAACTGCTGGCTTCTTGCGGATATAAAACGAGCATGTTTAAAAAATCGTTTAATTTTTATTAATCTAATTATTTATTTCTTAAGTTTAAGTATTCGGCAATTGCGCCATGGAATTCTATACCGCAAGA